AAAAAAAAAAAAAATATATATATATATATATATATATGCTCACAAACAAGAGTTTTAGGGGGCTTTCATCCACCAAACCTGTATACAACTAACACACAGCATTTGCTCAAATCCAAGGTAACTTTGAATTCAAAGCTATTCCTCTATTAGATTCTATACATGGAAAATGTATTAATTTTTCTTGTACAGAATATAATTATTGTCCTCAATTTGTCCCCACCCCAAACTGCTTTGGCAGTGAAAGAGATGGCAAAAAGACAAGCATTGGCAGGGGAACAGGCATTGGGGGAGTCAAGAAACCTGACCCCTGTACCTTGCCCCTGCTGCCTGTCCCCCTCATGATTTGCCCCTATGCTGCTTGCCTCCCCCCCACCACAGAACCTCCCCTGTGTTTGTGCCTCAGCTGCTTGACCCCTCTGCCATTTGCCCCATCCCTACACTTGACTCCCCTTGCTGCCTCAGAATGAACAGGTACAATATCATTACTACCTCACTTACAGTTGTCATATTGTTGCAATGTTTACTTGATATGTTTGTTTTATATAAATAGACGTTTTTATGAACTCTTAAGTCAGCATATGATCTGGCATTCGGTCAGGCTAACTTTTCAGACGTAAAATTCAATTGTTTTCTGCAGGAAGGAGCTGAGCATAAGATTTTTCACAACATGGATTGTTTTGGGAAGGTGAATGTGCATGTGCAAGAGTGAAATGAGAAGTAACCCACTGGTAGGGGCCCAAAGCATTCCAGATATGCATTTTGTGGTTTGCCTGTAAAATCAGAAGCAACAGACTAAATACTGTAATGACATGTAATTATGCAATATGTGATCTGATACAGCACACTGAAAAATCAAAATACTATGAAGCATATTACACACCATGTGCCACTCACAATATGCATTATGTCTATATATACTTTTGTCAAGACCCTGAGCTGTGAAAAAAGGTGATCAGTACAGGTCAGGGGAGAATGGTGCAAAGCTGGCTATGAGGTGCTCCTCAAATCATCTGGCATTGGTCCCCTGAAAATTTGAAGTCATGTAAGGGCCATTCCAATTTATGGTAGCTATCAACCCAAAAGCCACGCCAGTAGCCAGTCAAAACAACATCCTCTTATACACCACACCTTGACCAATCCAGATGCTAAAATTCTGGTGTGTTCAAAAAGCTATATCCAACCCAAGTATCCTCTCAACAATTAAAGAATTGTGTTGGCCTATACAGGTGCTCTAGGCACAAACTCTGAATCTCTTTTTTTTTTTTTTTAATTTGCATTGATCATTTTTATGGTTTCAACAGAACTTACTTTTCAAGTACAGGTGGAATTACTAATTCAGGACGCATTAGTGCAAGATTCTGTAGGGCTTGGGCAGCCTCTAGACTTCCGGTTTTACTGAACATAGCCAGAAGAACAGGTTGAATAATGCATTCTACAAAGTCTGTAACATCTTGATCAGTAAGTTTATGGCTATCAGGCACAGGTGTAAGCCAAGTCATTTTTTTGTAACGTTCACGATGCAATCTTCTAACAACGCTATTTGGTAATCTTTGAAGTAGTTTCATCAGCTTGTTCTGTTGAATATATAACCAGCGATAACAGAATCAGTCTCAATAATTAGCAGTGAGAAGACATCAGCAAGACTTGAACTTAATCCATACAACAGGCAGTTAAAGAAAAAAAAAATCAGCCATAGTAGCTTAAGACACTTAAGCAACTACACAACAGGAAAAGCTATTTACTGAAAGGTAGTAAAATCTAAGTAACCAAAATGTGCAATGGAGGCTGCTACACCCACCAGTACAAGCTACACTGTGTCACTCCTACTCATTTCTGCAAATGTCAAACACATGCTTACGTACTTTATTTTTCCTAGAGCTATTTGTACGGTGACTAATCAGATAAATGGAAATTATTTACCAGTAACAGGAGATCTTCAACAGCATCCTCTGCACGCTCATGCTAGGGGAATATTCTGGAATACTTAAGCCACCCTTGTAATTCTAGAGGTGCTGCTGGAGGAGTCAGGCTCCTAACACCAGTGAGGGCAGTCTTGCCATGCTAACTTCTGCTCACTACTAGACACCATAGAGATGTCTGTGCCGCATGCAGAGGGTGCACCATAACTGTACTATACCACCTAAGGATCATGCGAAATCCCAGAAACCCAGCTGTAACAGTATTAAAACACTGGTGCTCAGCCTCCGGCCCACAAAGCCATATTATTCAGCCCACAGGGCTCCCCACAGGTCTGGAAATTTGGTTGCAAGAGAACAGTAGCAGCATTAATTGCTCCCAGAGCCACAGCAATTAATACTGACAGTGCTCCACTGCCAAACTTCCAGATCCACAGGGAGCCCTGTGATGCAGATGACATGACCCCCACATGCCAAACTGCACTGATGCATGATCATGCTGGATTGCACCTATGGAACAACCCTATGCCAGATGTGGCTCATGGATTGTAGAGGTTGAGCATCACTGCTTTATAAAGCTTTCCCTGTATGTGGACTCTTATTTGCCCAGAGGGTTGGGAAAGACATCAACACATATAGATCAAGAAATACCCCACAACAAGGGTTAATAATATAAAACACCGTCTTAACTCAGTGGGGGCCAACCTCCCTGGCATGTGGGCCACAAATTAGCTCTTCACTTTCCCCCAGTGCCCCTCCATTACCACTTCCCTGCCTGATGTGTTGCTCTGCTTCCTTCCCTGTGCTTCCTGCCCAATCTGCTACTTTGCTTTCTGCTCCTTGCCCCCTCCCAATCCACCATGTGCCATACATAGGTTGCCCGGAACCACTTTAGCAACTGTGCTGGAGGTTGGCCATCCCCACCTTAAATCGTACCCAAGCAAATCCTATTCAACTAATAGAATATGCACTTGCACAAAAACAAATCCAGATCCCATGAACTCTCATTAGTTCACCTAAGTTTATTATTATTATTAAATGTTAGCAGTAATGACAACATTATCTCCTACTCCAAATAATACCATCCAGGGAAAGATGCAGGTACACACAGTTCTGTTGGGAACCATAATGTTAAAATTTTAAACTCATATTATTTATATGTATATATAAAACACACACACATCTACATATACGTGTGTGCATGTGTGTGTACACACAGAGAATATATATAAATTTATATAATCTATCCTTTATTTCAGGGAGTTGGCAACAGGATAGATCTGACCCATGAAGCCATTTTATCTGGTCTCCCAGAATGGTGTTTCATCAGTGTAATAGGGAGTACTGATTTGCTTGATTAATGAACAGCAGTGCAAGAGCAGTGGCAAAGCTGGGTGGGGGCAAGGGGAAACAGCAGTCAAATCTGTAGCTGAGGCATAAGCCAGGCTGGAAGTGGCCTCCAACTCAGACCTAAGCCCTGATAAACCAGCACCCTGATGCAATAAAGCAAAGGGGTTCCCTACTTCTACTCTATCCAGTACCCAACATTTTATGCTATTTTTAGGTCTAATATTTAAGCAGTGGATTTTATGACTCAACTAGCTGCATACTGAACTAAAATTAATTCTGCACTGAATAATCAAAATGAGATTTTGTTATACATTAGGGGTGCACCGACAAGAAATTTTTTGGGCTGATACCAATGGCCGATATTTAACAAGTAATATCAGCCAATACTGACATAATTGCAGATGCAAGCCAGCATCTTGGAGACCAGCATCCGGCTGGTAAGTCTGCTGGGGGGAAAGGGGTGACAGCAGGTGCAGAAAGGAGCATGGGAGGGGGGAACAGAGGCCTCTGCAGTGAGGGAGAGAGTGGGACTGGCACTAGAGCTGGGGCAGGTGCTAACCAGCCAGGATGGGGCACAGGATGGAGCCAAACCTCATCCAAGGGGGTGTGGGAAGGGGAGGGGGAGCCTTTCCACCACCCTGAGAAGGCATGGGGGGGACATGTGCCCCACAGATGTGTGTGCAAGATGAGGGCAGGCTGCTGCTGCAGCCTGGAGCCAGCACCGGGCTCTTTGTGGTGGGGGGGACTGGGCAAGTGGTGCTGTGATGGGGGACTACAGTGAATTTTGGGGTGGCTGTAGCCCACCCTGTAGCCCCACTTCTAGTGCTACTGCTGCCTGCCCTGAGAGCAGCCTGGCCCAGTCCCCACCCCCGCCAGGAACAGCCCAGCACTGCCCCTGGCTCCAGCCTACAGTAGCAGCCCACTCCAGCCCTGTGCACAGATCTAGGGGGTGCATGCCCCCCCATGCCCTGCTGGGGTGCAAGCAGAAGCAGGAACCAACCCCCCCCCTCTCCTCCCCTGACAAGCGACATCTCTGTCCCATGCTGCACTCTGAATGGGCAGCACCTACCCCAGCCGCACTCCCTCCCTCACCACAGGAGACTGTTGGGTCCCCATCCACACTTCTTCCCTCCCCCACACCTCACTTACCAGCTGGACGCTGCTCTCCATGCTGCCAGGCTGTGCTCCTGGCCACCTGCGTGCTGAGCTGCAGCTACACATGCACACAGCATTTATTGGCAATGTTAAATCAGCCACATCAGCCAAAAAAGCTGATTGCCGATAATGTCAATTTTCCTTTTATCAGTGCCAATATGATATGGATTGATGTATTGGTGTACCTCTGGTATACATTTATATATGGTGGCTCAACAAAACTAGAGCATGCCTTACTAGTAAGTGCGATTTAAATGCTAAAAAACGCTGTTACTTAATCAAATATAAGGCTTTCATAGGTGCTTTAAAACTGACAGGTATAATACATAATTGCAGCAAAGTTACTTTGACAAGTTGAGTTTCATAGCTGGTACTATACCCAGTTAAAATTAGTTGTATTTGCTCATTTTCTGGCTACTTTTCTATTTACCTTCATTATCACACCTGTGTATTTTTGGTGTTTTTTTATTTTATTTTTTTTAAGAGAAAGTATATTCTCATCATGACTATAGTCTACTATTTATTATAAGATAAAATAATTTGTAAGAAACAGTGCAAACATTGTACTAAGAATGAAGGGCATAGCAGAGACATTTGTGCTAGAATTACATTTTCACTGTAAAACTTAAAATATTTTTAGTACTGAAAATCAAAGCTTTAAACTTAAACTCACCAGCCATCGACCATTATTTGAAGGATGATAAAAGGATGCAATGCTACTGAATAACCCAGACAAATGCTTCTGTACTATTTTGCTTGGTCCACCCTGTCCAAAACCAAAAAACAACACACACAATGTTCACTAAATAGGATAACCAGGATGAAAAGAGATACTGCAAAAGATCTCTCTCAGACATTCATATTGAAATTCCTACATGTATTAAAATATATCTTGTTAATTTTCAATCAATCCTTAAAAACAGCATAGTTTTAAGATGGTAAAAATAAAAAATATATAAAATCATATTTGATATTTGAACATTAATACATCAGCTTCCTGAGCACGCATTTCCATTTAGAACACGGCACCCACGTAGAATGATTACTTTATTCCATGCAGTCATGTTGGCAAGCTACGGCATAATACTAGAAATGTTCTTAGCGTTGCCATCTATTTACACTCTTTGATGAAGCAACACAGCTGCATTCCAGTGCACTTAAAGTTAAACTGTTCTTCTTGGGAAGGGGAATGGTCAATGGAAAATTATGCCTGCAACCCTGAGTTGGGTTGTGACTTCAGTAGTATTACAGATGTATTTTACCTTGCATTATAATGAATTGGCTACATTTTGGGGCAACAGACTTAAGATAAAATATATTATTAGGCTCCCCCTCCAGGTTGTATTGGGTAAGGCACTTAAGAAGTCAAGTATTGAGTTACAAGGGCCAGGCATAGAGAGGCTTCCTGATAGTTTCAGTGTATTTTTATTAGATTTGTCATAAATTTATGACAAAGTTTGATTGCTCACATATTTTCCTGGTTTATTTTGGTCAGCCAGTCCCTCTTATATTAACACATTCTTTTTTGTACTTCTAAATGATTTTCTTCGAAGCTATACCTGAAATCAGTCACAGATAATTGTCACTTCTGGGTCTAATAAAACAAGGCAGAGTTCTCTTACCCCAAAAGTTATAGAAGCAAGGGGACTAGTGGCACAAAACATCAAAAAAGCTACCAACTGGCACACTTATTTATAATCACTGCTGCTTTAAAGGGTCAAAAAACCCACCTACAGCACACAACACTCCCTCAAACTCTGACCTTTAAGTAGGAAGTCCCAAGGAGAGAACCTAAATCTCACTCATTCCTAAGAGTGAGAATACCACTATGGATAAATCTCATCATTGCACTCCATTTTTCATCACCAGTGCAGCTGGTGGCTTTTTTCCAGACGGTACTAACAGTAGCCCTGAAGTAAACCTCACACTCAAAATTCCAAATAAATGGGAAGGCATTACTTTTAAATAAATATTAGACAGACGGAAAGCCTAAGAAAAATAAGCCTCTGCAAGGGAACTGAATACCAAGACACTTATACATTCACTTTAGCTGTAAAGGTGCTAGAGCTTTGCACTAGCAGTTTTTGATACACTATAAAAGTAAGATACTAACCATCATGGCTGTGATCCACATTACCGCATGGCCTATATCATAAGCATTTGTTAAGTATCTTGGAACTACAACTTGATTGCTCCCCACAGGAAGATTCAAACTTCTCAGAATCCTTGTAAATATCTGTTTTAAGAGTAACTCAGTGTTAGAAAGAGCATTATAACCTACTAATTCTAAGTTGCTTTACAATATTTTAGAACAGAACAATTATTCCTGCATGTTTTTGTTTTCTGTAATTAATTTACTAGAGTAAATTTTACCTGTGCAATGAAACAGCCTATGTGCTTTTGGTCACTGGGAATCTACAGGCACTGCAGATCCTGTTCTTAGCAGCAGACAACAAATAAAATGCCAGCTCCCAGCAAAGGGTTACTTTGAGAAAGGCATTTTTACATTATGCTGAATTTGCTCACTAGAAAAAATACCATGACATTTAACACTGTAGGCACCAGAAAACTGTACACACATATGAATGTCTGATCACCCCTGAATAAAACGTGCATCCTAGAGACAGGATATAACTGAAAAAACAGGAACTGAAAATTACAGACTTAAACATAAAAAAAAAAGAAACAGAAACTATTTCAGTGACTTGTAAAAAGGCACCACAATTATTGAAGTAACTGATAAATCTCAATTCATTCACTAATAAACATGCTAGTTTAAAAGTGATATACTGCAGAAGTCAGGACATTAGTAGCTATCTGGGAATTATCCTATAGGTTTAATATTCAGTGAAAAGTTCTCAATTTCTTTACGGTTAATGAACAGCTTTGGGTATTCTTTCAGAAAAGGATAGGATTAAATGATGAACAAGCAGCAGCCTTCACAAAAAACAGACAGAGTTGGGGAAATGGTTTCCTCTCACTCTTCGGCATCATTACATTATGCACTTAATTTAATGAAGGCATTACTGTGAACCTTCCCAGTGTCATTATGCAGTTGGACGATTTGCAAGGACAATGGCCTAGATTTTCTAGTGTTCAAATCATAATAAAAACATAGAATAAACCAAGCACTCTACTATGTCTTTACTAACTCAAGATTTGGAAGGTCTGAAACAGAAATAACTCAACTTCTGAAGGGGTGCATACCACATATCTCAAGAACAGCTCCAGATGGGCAAGAAAACTAGCAGCAGATTTTTTTTTTATTAAATAAAACATGTTAAAAGGCCATGAACAGCTTGAAATCAACCATCTGAGGTATTCAGAGAACACATCAAGCTCCACATTTCAAAAAGATACCATATGAGGCCCCATTCTTAAAAGGAACTGTGTATTGCTTGTGCATGTAGAATTATTCATGTGCTTAAGTGTTTACAGGAATATATGTCAATGCCCTTCCCAGTTAACTCATGCAACATACCATCCTCTTCCTAAATTATATACTGTAACAGTATGGCCCCGGTAGACAGTACAGAAAATATTTAGCTTGGTAAGACTACCAAAGATCTATTTTAGGAGAACCAAAAATTACTTCCAACAAATAATCAAGGTTACCTTTGGTACATATGGATCCCAGTCTATGTAGCCTATGTTGTCAGTGGCCAAGCGAGCAAAAAGATTTACTAAATGCTAGGGGGAGGGAAAGAAAAACATGTCAATATTTTATTGCACAGACTTTTAAACAGAAGAATCAGACTCCCTTCATCAGCTACCATGGAGGCAAGATACATTTTCACTCAACATTGGTATATTAACCAAATATCACATATGCTACAATTTAGCAATTTAAATAAAAGTCTAATGTAAAAATTTGACAACCTTCATTCCCCTGTTATTTCTAAATGCTTACGACTAAAGAAAATCAGGAAGTGAGGAAATAAAAAAGAAAAGTGTATGCACACCCCCACTTGATTCCTCATTCACTACAAAATATGGAAGCATGGAACATTGTTATACTGATGGGATTTCAATTAACCCTAATTTGCAGCAACTGGAACAGCATTTGCATCCCCATAAACACTGACCAATTGTCTGGAACATAACAAAGATTTAAACAAATAAAATCACTTTTTTGCTGGCTTATTTACTCAGACGGTGACAATTTGTTGGGAGTCTTGAAATTACCACCACCTCCTATTTTCACATTAAAAAGAGAAGGATAAGAACAGAACAGCATTTGACTGCATCCAAATTAAAAATGTAAACATGTTGAAGTGCTATAAACACGAAGCTATTCTACAGCAACTAGAAAAAGAAAATACTCACCCCTTCCCATTGTGGAAGATTTTGAACTGAAACCCAAAGGCCTATAAATTCATCAAACCAAAGCCTAAAAGAGAAGAAATAAAGCTGTTCATTTCAGCTTTGTTCCAACTTCTCTACTCAGACAGGCAAATCTTAGGGATGTAAATATTATTTTTAAAAATATTCACTTAACCTTCTGTAATTATACTGGTTAAACGAATAACCGAAAACACAGCTGCTGCTGGGAGCCTCTCCCAGCTCCCTTTAACTGAGGGGAGGAGGCAAGCCCAGCCACACAACACAGCCCACATGAAGCCCTACACTGGTAGGAGAGAGCACCTATGAACAAACAGCTAATTGCTTAAATGAGGAGTAATTAGCAGGAAACCGGGTTTTCCGGTTTGCCATGGGTTTTCTCCTTTAAAGCAGCAGGCCTGGGCCCACCGGGCAGTGGCAGGGGGACAGGAGGAGCAGGCTCGGGGTCAAAGCAGCGGAGGGGGGGGCAGGCCCACTCCTCCCCTCCC